ATCACGCGTTGTGAACATGTTCAGATGGAAGCCGGCTTATTTCTGTTTACCCCGCACCGTCGCTGCCGTCTGCGTCGTCCTGCTCCGTTCTCCCACCAGCAGTCTTCGATATATCCACTTCAAACTCTTGCTTTGAAATCATTTGGTAAATTGATATTATCCGGGATGGGTTATGTTTCTGTGCAGTGCTGTATCGTAAACATTTCTAGTAGGGAGTTGTGTAGTTTGATGTGGTGAATGGATGTTCCATTGTGCTTTTGTTTACTTTAGCAGTACAACGATAACAAGTAGCCGGCGTGACATTTTGGTTCATAGACTGACACAGTGACACACATTACAGACATAACTTATAAGCACTGAATAGACATTTATAGTTAAAGCTTTTGTCTTTATTTTTCTCGAAGTCAAAGTACAAATGACTATCTCGGTATTTTGTCATTTATTTTGGCGTTTATTGTGTAGTTCAGAGAGATGACTGAAATTTTGATTTGTTAGGTTAGTTGTCAGCAATAATAATTAATAAGATCGATCGATTGATGACGGGATGGTCCATCAGAGTTGAGTCAGCGAACCTGTAATCTATATTTAGTTCACATTGACATTGGTTCTTCATAAGTCATAAGTAGTGTGACTTTGATATCTGTTTCTTTTCAAGTTTGGTGGGATATTTATCTTCATGGGCTCCTTTGAATAAAATGTGTGTGATAGTGATATTTATATGTTTCTCTTCTTCAGACGTGATATGATATATATATTATGTTTCTCTTCAGCCGGTGTGATGTTTATATATGTACCTCCTCAGACTTGGTGTAATATTTATATAAGTTTCTTCTTAGGGGTGGCGTGATATTTTATTTATGTTTCACTGTTTCTCTTCAGATGTGGTGTGATATTTGAATGTATGCTTCTCTTCAGACACAGTGTAATGATTTCTTTTCAGACTTGACATTAGTGTGATATTTGTGTCAGTTCATACCTAATGTGACTTCTTTTCAGATGTGAGGTTTATGTTTTTCCTCAGACTTGTATTTATATTCTTCTCTTCAGACGTGGTGTGATGTTTATGTTTCATTTAAGACATACCTTTTTAAGACTAGGTGTGGTTTTAAGCTTATTTTCAGTGATGTAATTATATGATTCACTTCAGTTTTGTTAGGATATTTAAATCATTCTCTTCAGACTTGGTGTGATATTTATGTTTCTCTTTAGGTTTGGCGTGACATTTATATCTTTCTCTTCAGACTTTATATTTATGTTTCTCTTTAGGTTGGGTGTGACATTTCGGCTCTCCTGTCAAATCCGGACGAAGAAAAAAAGCCTTGGACGACTTAGTCAGAGTTCTCTCCCTTGGCCGCACTGCAAACAGTGATCGGAAAAGCAACGAAACAAACGACACACTTACCTATCATCATACGGTTGCGTATAGGGCTGCGTACGGTTGCGTGAGGCATCGTGAAGGGTTGCGTAGTCATCATACGGTTGCGTGTAGGGATGCGTAGTGTTTGGGTTTGAGTTAGGGGTAGGGTTAGGGTTTAGAGTTAGGGTTAGGGTTAGATGTGAAAATTTTGACGTAGGATTTCGAAATACTGGCCGACAATCTGATGTTTGTGGGAGTGGCCCCACTGAAACTCTGCCAAATATGACGCCAATAGCGTGCGGCTGGTGCCCCCAATCGTTGGCCAAATGTAAGTTTGACCAGCATCCAGAGGCCCTCGATTGTTTGTGTGTGTATGGGACTGTGCGCGATTATAGGGAACTCCGGCGCCAAAATTGTCAAATCTAACGCTAAACCTAACCCTACCGCTAACCCTAATCCTAATCCTACTCCTTAACCCTAACCCCTACCCCTAACCACGCAAATTTATCGATCATTAAAGCATACAAATCGGCAAAAACCAACAAACAAAACACACCCAAAAAAAAAACCAGAGTTGTCCTGCAGCGTCGAAAAAACCCAGATCTGGGGGAAACAACCAAGCATTGGCAGCCCTGATGTCGGCGTGACTGTCTTCTTTGTTTCGTTGGCTTTTCCTATCACTGTTTGCAGTGCGCCAAGGCAGAGAACTCTGACTAAGTCGTCCAAGGCTTTTTAGTCTTCGTCCGGATTTGACAGGAGTACCGACATTTCATTTATATCTTTCTCTTCAGACTTTAGGATATTTATGTTTCTCTTTAGGTTTGGTTTGACAGTTATATCTTTCTCTTCAGACTTTATGATATTTATGTTCCTCTTTAGGTTTGGTGTGAGATTTATATCTTTCTCTTCAGACTTTATGATATTTATGTTTCTCTTTAGGTTTGGTGTGACATTTTGTATCTTTCTCTTCAGACTTTATTATATTTATGTTTCTTTTTAGGTTTGGTCTGATATTTGTATCTTTCTCTTCAGACTTTATTATTTTTATGTTTCTCATTAGGTTTGGTGTGACATTTATATCTTTCTCTTCACACTTGGTTTATTTGTTTCTCTTTCGACTTATGTGCTATTTGAATTTTTTCATCGCTGTGTTAGCATTAGTAGTATTAATATTATGTAACTATTATCGAGAAATAACAATTTTATTTACACAACATATAAGAAAAAGTATTATGATGCATGGGTTCAATTTGTGACAACACTTTATTTATTAACAGAACTAACGTATTATTAAAAAATGTATTGAAAAGCCTTTGTAATAGGAAGTTAACCCATTTAGCACCATCATGACATTACTATCAAGATTGAGTACACAAAAAGCTGGGGTTAACATAAACATTTCATTGCTTCAGGTGACAGTCTTTAAAGTTAAAAAAAGGCAGACTTTATTATTATTTTCAAGGATCATCGTTGTGTAGTGGCTAGATGCTGGCTTCGGCTAGACGCTCGCCTGCGGATCCGAGGATCATAACTTTCCAAACATTGATCTTGGCTTCCAGTTCGGTCCAGCCTTAAGTGGGTACCTGGCGCCTTTAAGTAAAGGCGGCTGGCGCGATGTTGACCACATCACTCGCAGATTGGTCTATAAAATATAGGTCTGGCCCTATATGCCCACTAAGCATGAAAGCTGGAATAAGGGTCTTTTACTACTTTTTTTTCTACATTATTATTTTGTGAACACAATACCTAGATTTTAAAAAGTCAGATTAGGAAGATAAATGTTTAGATGCGTGATATTCAAATTGTGGGAGCCAGAGTAGTATAGTGGCTAGATGTTTGTCTGCGGATCCACGGGTCATGGGTTCAATTCTGCATAGACCTGGACTTTTTTCAAAAATGGCCTTGGCTCCCAGGTTGACCCAGCCTCAAATGTATACCAGATAAAGTCCTGGGAAATAAAGGTGGCCAACATGTTGTTGACCACATCACCCAACAAGTGCCAATTGGTGTCTAAAATATAGGTCTAGCCCTATGTGCCCAATTCAGCTGAAGGCAAGGTCGAGGGTCCTATACTTTGCCCACATAGGTTTTTAATTTCTCTATTTTGGCATTTAGTTAGTTAGTTGTGAGCCTTTACAGGACATAGCAGAACCAACCCCAGCATTTTTTGTGTGGCTGTTGTGGTTTTTTTTCCTAGGCTAATTTACATCCAGTAGTTTTCCATTGCTTTCTGGATGGTTGGCTTCTCAATATCCACTGTCGAAACCAGCGCAAGGCCCGTAGCTGAGATCGAACCTGGCATTACGGAGCGTGTTTGCAACACCTAAGCCACAGATGCTGACTAACATGGCAATAATACCATTAAATATAGTTTATCCCAGGGACAGAACTCATTTCCCCTTTCTTCCATTTTGTTTGTATCTATCATTTCTTCACATTAGCAAAGACTTTATTGCAGTTATGCATCTGTTTGTTTGTATGATACTAATAATACTAATAATAGTAGCTCTCTTTGGGCATATCTGACTGGCTTGATGTGCCATATGGGCAGATATGGTTTTCTAGTCTTTCATTCAAGATGATTGCTTACAATGTGTCTCATTTGTTGTAGTCAGAAGCCTTTTCCTCCCAGGTTGTCTGTCCACAGTATCTTCATGTCTCACTGGCACATCTTTCAATTATAACTGAACGAGCATCTGTCAGTCAATCATCATCACGCCCAGAGGCATATAAGTCAGAGACAAACTGTTGCCACTCAATTCGATCCTGGGCCATCCTCTCTATCTCTCCATATTGTGTTTTAATGATCCTTCTAGGCTGGGGCCTCAGACTTCTGGCCTGTGAAGATCATTTTGTGAAAATGTTGTCCCTAGATTAAACTTAGTTGAATAGTAAACTTAGTACATGATCCATTGTCATTTGTTTGTTTTTGTTTGGTAATGATCATGAATCTATGAAAGTTCCTGCATTTAAATTTTGGCCAGTTGCACGTATATCTACATGAGTGATTATATACTGAAATGATTATGTGCTTGGCTAGACAAGACCAAAAATAATCATCTATTATTAATCTGATGTTACAAAAGCCAGCAAAGTCACTAGAAAAGGCAGATGTACACGCGATGACATAAATACCATAGGTACCAACATTAATTGCTTTAAATTTGTAGAGGGACAATGTTTTTTTTTTTCTGGCCTGAAAATTGTTTAAGAAAGAAGCTACAGCAGTGTGCTTTTAACAGAAGAAGGAACTCTTAACAGTGGAGATAGGAGGAGACCAAGAATGCAACAGACAGATGTTTTCTGCCTGGGGTAAACTACACAAACATGACATAGTTTATGTGACAAGTCTGGCCGCAGATGGAAACATTTGGTCACCTGCCTGCACTTAATTTATATGTGGACCAATGTCACCCTCCAAAGGAATCTAAATAGTAGATAGCAAATTTTACAGTGTAATTTGACTGACCATGAAGATAATCTTTTATCAGATAGTGTACAGTTAAAAGTACATATTTGCATGAGTCTTTAGTGTTTGTGTGAGCTGTCTCGCTCATTTTTCAGTTTAGATCACACAAATTGAATTTTATAAATCTATATTTTTTATTTTTAGATTGTCCCGTATCATCTAGTTCCTGGCAAGATGCTGTCCCATTTATTCAATGCCCACGGTCAGTTCTGTGCCAGCCACCCCTGGGAGGTGCTGATCGGCACAGTGACCGTCACAATCTCATTGATGTCCATGAGTTTGTGGGCTGCAAACAGCAAGGTCTGTGGCTGGAACTACATTTGCAAAAATGAAGAGGTAAGTTATATCCTAAAGTTTGCATATAAACATTGTGTAACTTCTTCATTGTAGATTTGCAGACATTTAATTCTCCAAAGAAATCATCATCTTGATTACAGTGCTGTAATTATATATGATTACAATACTCTATACAGTATTTTCATAACAATAACTCCCTTCTGTCATATCTACTATGGGTTGATGCTAATATCATTAATGGGCCCTTCTTCTCATTCTGTTGTCCATCTCCCAGTGGAGCGTATGTCCTTAACCAGTTCACATCAAGCTTCTAAGAGACCTGTTCATCATTGATTAGATTTTGCCACACAAGGTTTCTTCAGAATGAGGCTGCCAGTCTCATGCTAACCCTCCTTAATAGCCGCTCACAACAATCTTTTAACAGAGATACATATGATCTCAACTTTGTAAAACAACTTACTGCTTTTGCTCTTTTATATGTCTTGTAACAGAGAAGCCAGCTAGTCTGGTCTTGGTGGTGTTTCTCAACTTGCATATTCACTAGATAAATGTCATTAATATCCTGTCTTCCTAAATGCTTTGTAACCACTAGAAAGTTGTTTTCCCGTTGCACTAATTTGGTAAGAAATTATGTTTTATTTTGCTTTTTCCTCTTTGAAATTACCTATATTTGAAAACAACATGTGTTTGTTGTTTCAGGAGATGAAGAGTTCAGACATGATAATACTCTCGCTGACCCAGTGTCTTGCTGTTATGTACATTTATCTGCAGTTCAGGAACTTGAGGAAACTAGGATCAAAATACCTTTTAGGTACATCATTTTTGTATGATATTTGTGCATTTATCTTTAGGTTTTGCTCTGAAACTTAACATTAAATGTTTTAAACATTTGTATTAATCACCATAGTGTCTAGTCTGAAAAAAAATCCCTATGTGTTTCTACCCAGTCGCCCAGGAAACTTTAAAAAAAAAACATAGGGATTCCAGAAGAAAAATATGTCTTACATCACCATGTCATTACCACTAAAGGTTAAATGTATAGTGGAAATGTTTGCTCTGGGTGCAGGATTTATTTAGTATGTACTGGTCAAATGTTTTTTTTTTTTTAAAGTAAATAAACACATTTGGTGGCTTAGACCCGAAGTTAAGGGCCATTCACATATGTTTCGCTTAGATTTGATAGATCTTAGGAGCTGAGAGCACTCTTATGTTTCTGTATCTGCCACATATACCCATGTGCTCTTTTGCAATGCCTGATGTATTATAAAAAATCAAAAATATCCTAAGACTCCTTACGTATTTTAAGTCGAAGTTGTAAACCTTAATAATAGTGTTTCGTGTTTTAGCTTCTCGGCCATTCTCTACAGTTACACTAATAATACCAGGGTTCGTAGTGGACCAGGAAATCTTGAATTGACCGTGAAAATTGACTTTCCAGGAGCCATGAATTTGGCCTTGAAAAGGACAATCTGACCTTAAGAAGTCATGAATTTTGACCGCCGCAAAAAGATCGTCCGAAAATCCTGCGATTTTCAGCAGTAGGCTTTTTTTTGGGGCCATTTGGCTAGTTTTGGCTACTGTCGTTTCAGGTGTGATTGCAGCTGATTATTGGCTATTTTCAGCCTAAATGGCTTGTTAAAGGGAAGGGCGGGCTGTGTTGCAGACATGAATACATGCAGACAGCGTGGTGGGACTAAGCAAAGTGACGTCAGCTGGATTTCCCAGTTCTATTTTTGCCCTGGTTTTATCTTTACAGTGTGTTTGGCGATCAGTATTGTAATTCCCCGAGATTCCCTCTTCTGTTGTCTCACACCCCACTCTCTCTTTTCTCTGTCTTCTTTCACTCTTCTACCTGTTGCTCCTTCCTTCCCGTCTCCTGCATTGTCCTCACCCTCCCCTCCGATCTTCATCTTCTTCTCTTTCTCTCTATCTTTCCTTTTACTCTCTCATTTCCTGTCTTCCCCCCACCCCCTTTTCCTATTTTATTTCTTGTTTAAATGTTTAGTAAATGTGCTGCTCCATAACTCTTTTCCCAGCAACTAAGTACACAGGAAGTTGTGTTATGGGGGGGGGGGGGGGGGGGGGGGGGGGTTGGGGGGGCGGGTCATAGTGGGTTTTTTCTTTTGATGTGTTTATTTTCTTAGCAGGCATTAATCTCTGTCCATCTCTCTTCCTGCCCCCTCACTTTTTGTCTTATCTGTTCCTCACTCTCTACCTGTCTGTCACTGTCTTCCTCTCTCTTTCTCTTTGTATTTGCCGCTCTCTTTCTCTCTCCCCCCCCCCCTCCCTCTCCTCTCATCCTCTCTCTCCCCCCTTCAATTCTCTCCAGAAGGTTAGAAGGTTATGTGTTGCCTAGTGCAGAACATTTCATGTCCACCACTCTCCCTCCCTCACACACATATTAAATATATGTGTACTTTTGTTTGTGTCAAGATGACGGGACGTGTTTTTCTCTAGCTCGGCGCATATCGGTTGATCGACGGTCTGACAAGCTGTCATCGCAAACCACCGATTGTTGTAGAATCAGATTTCTGGCTCTAACTGCATGATGATTCGTTCTTACCAAGCCCTCATTTGAACATTTCATGGGAAAAGATCTCGTGGAAGACCAAGGGAAACCCTACGTAGACTCCCAGGGAAGGCTCACACATGGGCCACTCAAAATCCAAGACCTACAACAGATTGAAAACACATGCATTGCCAGGACTTCTGCCCTATGTGCCCCCCCCCCCCTAACTAACTAACTAACTTTTGAAAAACACATTTTGCCTTCCCCCCCCCCCCCTTTTTTTTCTCATCCCACATTGATGACACCTAGGTGAGGGGGTGCACCCCTTCCTGCTACCTTTTTCCCTTTATCTTATCATATTTCTTTCTCCCTTCTTTCTCTCCCTGTCTCAGTTCCCACTTTCTTTCTTAAACTTAATTCTCTCTCTCTCTAGTCCACTGATGCCCTGACCTATTTTGTGTGTGTGTGGGTAACCTGCTCTGTTTTCCACCAGTGGTGGGTTGGAATCCCCTTGACTGTTTTTTTCTTCATAAAATGACCTTGGCTCTCAGGTCACCAGCCTTAAGTGTAAGAAATTGAACTATTGTTGTCACACGCAGATAGGACAAGCACGGGGTGGTAGTGGTTAGCACTGTTGTTTATGGACCACAGCCACATTCACATTGGGAGAGGGAAGGAACCGGAAAAGTGGCCTCACTTAGATTACCTAATTCTATTTTTGGCGCTGAGTGTTCTTATCGCCATCCCCCCCCCCCCCCCCCCCACCAACCATGTCACCTCTCTTCTCTCACCCCTTCTCTTTCTTATGATCTTCCACTCTTCTCCTTTATTTATCTCTCCATCCTTCCTCTCTTCCTTTCCTTACTCTGTTCTCTCTTGCTCTTCCTCCTGTCCCATCTCTTCTTTGTCTCCTCTCCATCCTGTCTTCTCATTTTCTTTAGATTTCCTTACCCTCTCCTCTCTATCTCACCCCCCCCCCCCCCCCCCCCCCCATTTTTTATGGTTCTTCTACATTTGTTTTGTTGCCCCCATAACCATCTTTTCCTAGTGGTTGTGTCCAGTACACTTTAAACTGTGTCGGGGGAGTGGGTGTGGTTTCAGCATGAGGCTGGTTTTTTTTCTTTTATATATTGTTATATTTGTTAGCAATTCTTGCATATTTTTTTTTACTCTCTATCTTGTCTCCCTTCCTGCCCCTCTCTCTTAATCTGTGTTTGTCTCTGCCTTCCTTACCCACCTCTCTCTCCCTCTCTCGCTTTATGTCTGTTTGCCTCCCTTGATCACTTCCTCTTTGTATACCTCCCTCCCATTCTCCTGCTCTGCCTTTTTTTCTCTTTCTTTGGTTCTCTCCCTCTGTCTGCTTGCCTCTCTATGCTGTCCCTTTGTCTCTCTCTCCTTTATGTCTATATCTCTCTCTCTCTCTGCATCTGCTTTTCTCCCTGTCCGTTCTCTCTACCTCTGTCTCCCTCCCTTCAACTCTCTTTGTCATATTTTCCTCCTTCCATATCCCTGTTTCTTTCCCTTCTTCCTTCTCTCTTCATCTGCCCATCTCTGTATCTGCATTCCCTCTTTCTGTATTTGTCTCCCTCTCTGTCTTTCACTGTCACTTCCCCACTTTCCCTCATCATGTCTCCATCCCTCCCTCTCTCGTTGCCATATTTTTTTCCTCCTTTCCCAGACTCCTTTTTCCTTTTTTCCTCTACCTTCATCTATCCATCTTTACACTGTCTCTCCCAGTCTACATCAGCCTGTGTCTTCCTCCCTCTCTGTATGACTCTCTCTCTCTTTCTCTCGCCTTTACCCTTTCAGGTACCAGGTCCAGAACAGACATGACTTCAGTTTGCTGCCCTCTTCCACCAAGTCTTTAAAAAAATTTCAAACACTATATCAAGCGCAGGGGCCGACTAACACGAAGATGAGCACAGGATATAAGTGGCGAGAGACCGAGTTTTTTTTTAAAGGACAAAGGACCTGCTACATGATGAATGATATATGTGCTGGTATACCAACATGTGTGGCATGAATGAAGTACATTGTGTGCTCGGTACACCCTTGAACAAGGCAACAATCTTGTTTCAGTATCACACCGAGACAAGCTTGAAAAAAAACTAAGGAGACCTTGAAAAGCCTTGAAATTAATTGGTAAATTTGGCTATGAACCCTGTAATACAGTAAAACCTCGATAATATGAACTCTCTTAAGACGAGCACTCAGATAACATGAACACAAATGCAATCCCAGCTAATACTTATATTAGGTCCCCCATTAACACGCTTTTTTAAACACAAACTTTCGGAGTTTTCGGATTTCACGTTAATGAGGTTTACTGTAGATGTTTAATCATTGTTCGAGTGTATTGTTTTCTTGTTGCATATTATTGACTATTTTCCTTTTCAATAATCTTGTGCAAATTTATCTTTAGTCAATATTTTTTTTTTCAATTCACATTCATTACAGTCTGTCTTTTTGTTGTTTTCTGTCTGTTTTGTCAAAAAAGACCAGCATGTTTTTTTTTTTTTTTTTAATACTCTTTTCTTGATCTAACATCATTTTGTTACTGTAGGCCATTATTTTAAAATAGAAATGGTTTATAAATATGATCTTCCTTTACTTGTAGCTTAGTGGTAATAGCTTTCGATATATCAGATTTTTCATCTTTGATCATCTATTCATTGGAACTTTTGTGTGTGTCTTTGACAGGTCTTGCTGGAGTATTCACTATATTTTCCAGCTTCATCTTAAGCATAGCAATAGCTAATTTAATAGGATTTGATCTGAAGGGCCTCAAGTAAGTAAACATTTAAATTAAAAAAATTCTTTAGAATGCTAATTAGGAGGGTTTATTTTGGTGTAGCAGACTTTGTCTTGTTCTTTTAAGGCCTGGGCTCATCTCACTGACTGCATTGTTCTGTTCATGAGTGTAGTTCTTGCAGATACCAGGGGATCACTGCTGGAGCTGCAGCATTCATACTTTTTGTGACACTCTCAGCCGTTATGGGTAGAGGGACCAAGGCATATAGAATAAACTGGGACTGAAGTAGCGCTTAATTACATCAAGAGACAACAGATCAGATGCTTTTGACATGTGTCAAGACAACATGGGACAATGCATCACAGAGAGCCCTGTGACATTGCACACACACAACAAAAGCATAACCAGAGGCTGCCCACACGAGCTATAGATTGGTGAAATATTCAAGGCTGTGAATACCAACATCTGTGTAGCAAATACCAGCTGCCTCACCTGATGCTCAAAGATAGAACAGGGTCTAGAAGAAAGATAAAGAAGCATTGAAGTTAATTATGTTGACCTTAGACCTTTTAAGACAGTTAGCAATGTTTTAGTTAAAGAAAAAAGTTACCCAACTTTCTTTGCCTTAAGTCTTAATAATAAAGAACTTATATATATATATATAAGAGAGAAAAGAAACTGGACAGTCTGACATGGCATGGAGGATCATCTGTGTCAGAGTTGACTGAAAGTTCACGAGACAGAAGGTTGTGGCATTTGTAGTCATGTCTATCCACAACCTTCTGTCTCATGTACTTTCAGTCAACTCTGACACAGATGATCCTCCATGCCATGTCAGACTGTCCAGTTTCTTTTCTCTCAGTGCCCATCTGCCTTGCCTCCTCTCCAGCTTTCCTATTGTCATGATGTACTTCAGTTTTCTCATTCTCATCACATGACCAAAGAATGTAGTCTCTTTCTGGTTGTGGGCAATCTAGTTCTCTTCCTGAGTCAGTTTCTTTCAAGACATCCATATTACTCTTTTTATCTGTCCAAGGCATTCTCATCATTTGTCTATAAAACAACATCTTCGCAGCTTTCTGATAATTTGTCACTAATCTACCAACTGTCGTTGATTCACTTTTGTATATCAAGCTACCCATATATATACAGAAGGAGTGAAATGTGTATGTCTCTGTTTTCTGCAGTGAAGCTCTGCCATTTTTTCTGCTCCTTGTTGACCTTTCCAAAGCCAGTGCCCTGGCTCGGTTCTCTCTGACGGCTGCTAGCCAAGATGAGCTTCAGAAGAACATTGGGAGAGGTATGGCTATCATTGGACCTGCCATGACTTTGGATGCACTTGTGGAGACTTTGGCCATTGGAGTAGGCACACTTTCTGGTAATTATTGACAATAATTTTATCTTTGCAAAACAGAATGAAAATATTTAGTGTTGTGTTATTAGATGTCTTCATTTGTAAATGATCATTTATTTGTTATTGTTCTAGTTAAATGCTTATTTTTCAGTTTTGGGCATAGTAACACAAGTTACTCGCTATTCTGTTTGTTTTCTTCTGCAGTATTTCTCATACATAGGTGCCTGCTTTATTATCAGCCAATCTGGACTTTATCATGTGCCTGGCTGATTGCTATCTACAACAGAATATATCAGTTTGTGTGCTGGCATGTTCTGTGGAACAGTGAAAGACTGTACACACACCAAACAGCTCTTTCACTGATTTTCTGTGTCCATTTCTCACATGTAAAAAGTAATAATTATAATACATTCTTAGTGGCCTTTTTTTAAGGGTAGAGGGAGAATGGAATGGACCTACCCCACACAGCCCAAACAAATATTTTGCAAAAGACAACTAAATAGGGTTTGCTTTAAATCAGATGTGTTGGGCTGAAACGCATAGATATCACAGCCTAGCTGTCTTGCTATTTTGTCCTCTGTCCTGCTCATCCACTATCCTGTACCCACACGCATAGCTATTGGGAATTTTTTAATTAGTCAGAATCTAGGAATATCCCATATATATTGTGTAACACAACAAAAGTTTCTTTTTTTTTTTTTTTTGGCTGACAATTGTCTTTGAGAGAGAAGACTCTAGAGTGACTTCATTATTGTCTGGTGCATAATTTTATACAGGGAACTGAAGCTGTATGTTTCTTACTTGCAGGTGTGAGACAGCTAGAGACCATGTGCTGCTTTGGATGTTTGTCCGTGATTGCCAACTACCTGGCCTTCATGACTTTCTACCCAGCCTGCTTGTCACTTGTACTTGAGGTAGGACTTTTTATCAGTTAGTTTGAACTTTATTAGTGTTCAGGTGATATTCAAAAGATGATTTGTGTGCCTCGATTTTATTTACTGTCTTCCTTTTCTTGAAAGGGGGGGGGGGGGCATATAGACCCACTGCTCCCGGCCCTCCACACACATACACACAAGCATATCATGAGAAATGAGATCGGTATTTTTTTCAAAGATGGTGTGCATCTGCCAGAGGCGAGGAATCTGTGATCTGCATACAAAAAAAAGATATTTACACAAAAATCAAGTTCTGGAACAATACTAAAGTCCAAACAACAGAATTTTCTGTTGGAGTTTACAGGTGGTGAACACAATGAAGTCTCACCTAGGTCGTTTGCAGAATCTTTGCTCGTTTATCAGCCTAATGAAAGCCTCTCAGTGCCTTGCCAGTTGCTCTAATTCATATATTTCAAGGTATCTCCAATATCCTGTGTCCACCTTTGACCTGTCTTTTCTTCTAGGAATTTGATCTTCCATTATTGTTTATTCAAACAATCCTGGGGTTAGGTGTTTCCTCTTTATTGTCTTGATGTTGTTTACGGACCAGGTCTCCTCACCGTTCACATGTTCTTTTTGTTTCTTGGTATCCTAAGAACATTTCTGCAACATTCAAGTTTAGATGTTCAGCTTTTGCATCTATTGGCTGTTTGTAATTTTTTCAGGCACTTTTGCATTTAGTAGTAGTTTGCCATAGCCTTCTAAATGATTGATGCTCACACCACTGTCAAAATCAACACAGAATTATCTGCTGCCAAACTTCATGGATCTGAATTGAATCCAGTATGTCAGAATTAAGAAACTACTTTTTATAATCCCTAAACCATAAGACACTGGCAAGTCTTCTACACTGAGTGCAAAATGGTCCATGACTTAACATTCATATGGTACCAGAAGAAATTTGCATGTCCTCAGATGTTTTTTGTGTGTGTTTTTGCTGGTCCAATGCCATAATTTAAAATGCTTTTTGAGTATGTTGTGTCAACACAAATTTTATCACTTATATACTCTATGACTCATTGGTCCTTATTGATTGCCAGGTGCAGTGGCAAACATAAAACTGCTTCATTATTACCCATAAATATTTTTTGAATTTTATTTTGTTGCCTTTCAGTATTTTTTTTTTTTTTCAAGTTAAAATTTGCAGCTGTTTTGAATCTCATTTCTTTTTTAACTAGGCTTTTCGTCATTTTGTTGTCGTCGATTTTTTTGCAGGACATTTGGATGCGCATAGGAGAAAATCAAATTAGTGTTTAAGTGCGCTTCTCTTTTTCTGGTCTTTTTATAACTTTTGTGACCATCATAACTTGATTATGAAGTGTTCTAAATATTATACTCAGCATGATAGTGACTGAAGCAATGGCCTAACTTGTATTTAATTTGCCATTTAAACACAAATGGTCTTACCTCTTCGTTTAACACACAGCCTCATGTAGAGTAACCCGACAGCGAAGGTTGGCCACGGTGCCCCCACTGCTGTCTTTGGGAACATATTGTGGTGAGCTCCCAGTCTCTGCCACAGTGCGACTCTTTTCTTCTTAGGGTTCATCGGTAGTAGACTGTCAGAAAGTTCTGGTTGTTTGTCCACTTCTGGACTTCATTCTTGTTACCAGAACTTGAATTTTCCTTGCACATCCATTTTGCAACCCTGACTTGTATTCAGACAGTTGATTTTTCGCCTCTCAAGCAGATGCACTCCTACTTAGGAGGGGAAATCCCCGATTAGTCATCTTTTACGGTATGCTTGTTAGAGAGGCAGTGGGTCTATCTTCCACCTCCCTCCACCCAAAAAAAGTCCCTCAGGGCAATACAATTAAATGCAGTCACTAATCTCTAAGTCAATTTTTCATATTGTTTGTTATAATTATAGTAATCATATATTTCATATAATTAAAGTATTGTTTATAATGTACATTTATGGTTGGAACTCTCTTGGTTGACAGACCACATAAACCAAAATGAATTAATTAAAAAAGATTCTGGGTATTTGTAATTTGTCAAGCTTGAAGATTTTAGATCTGAAATATTTGAAGGAATCATGTTGCTTATGATATACTGCACCGTGTCACAATATAGATTCACTGTGTCACAATATAGTTGCATCATGTTACAATATAGATTCATCATGTCACAATATAGTTGCATCATGTTACAATATAGATTTATCGTGTCACAATATAGATGCATCATGTTACAATATAGATTCATCGTGTTACAATATAGATGCATCATGTCACAATATAGATTCATCATGTCACAATATAGATGCATCATGTTACAATATAGATTCATCATGTTACAATATAGATGCATCATGTCACAATATAGATGCATCATGTTACAATATAGATTCACTGTGTCACAATATAGTTGCATCATGTTACAATATAGATTCATCATGTCACAATATAGTTGCATCATGTTACAATATAGATTTATCGTGTCACAATATAGATGCATCATGTTACAATATAGATTCATCGTGTTACAATATAGATGCATCATGTCACAATATAGATTCATCATGTCACAATATAGATGCATCATGTTACAATATAGATTCATCATGTTACAATATAGATGCATCATGTCACAATATAGATGCATCATGTTACAATATAGATTCATCATGTCACAAAATAGTTGCATCATGTTACAATATAGATTCATCATGTCACAAAATAGTTGCATCATGTTACAATATAGATTCATCATGTCACAATATAGATGCATCATGTCACAATATAGATTCATCATGTCACAATATAGATTCATCATGTCACAGTATAGATTGAAAACATTGATTGTTTTGGGGAGTGGCCAGTCAGGTGTTTAGAGCTCTGGCCTCTTATCCATGGTGAATCCCCAGAAAAGGGCTGGAAAATTGTTTCTGTCAGGGGCAACAATAAACAACCTAACCTGTGCAGGTTGCAGCAACTGTACTGACCACGAGACACTAAATCCTCATATTTGTGATCCCTTTGTCCTGCACCAGCATAAAATGTGGTAGTTGATAGCAGTTGAAGGTGTTTATTCCATTTACCTTGTCTTACTTTGTTTTAAAAAAAGAAATTATGCAGATCATATGACAATAAGGGCTGTCATAATACTTGTCCGGGAACCTTCATAAATATTGTAATGAGTTAAAAATGGAGCAGTTTAAGCATTGAATTACACTAAACAGTTACTGATCACACACAAGCTGCTGTCAATGTTGCAGATAGTTTTCACTGGGTGAAAGTTGCATGTAATTTTAGCTGATTCTAAGTGGTAATTGTTAAACTGTAGTGGAGCTTCTTGACTGATTCACAAGTGAAAGAACTTTAGTCCACTTCTGAGCTTAAGTAATCACCTACATGTTTGTGACCTCCCTTATCAGAGCAATGTATCACCCCACACCAGCTTTGTTTTGTCAGCATGATGCTGCTAGTAGGCTCTGACATTGAAGTCTGACCCATTCCTGACAGATTTCTTTATTGAAATGTATAAATGAATATTGGACAAATACCTATTTGTCCATGTAGAGAGGGTAGTCTATTGGCTGATTGAGAGGTGGCTCAGTGCCAACATAATTCAGCCCAGCTGAGTAGATGAGTAGACCATGATAGCAGGATAAACTTGCCATTCCATCAGCTTTTTGTGTAGATGTGGTTATTTGATAGCATAGGAAGAATTATCGAGAAAAGGAGGTTTAGTTAGTTGTCAGCATACTTTGTCTAATTTTGTTTCATTTATTTTACTTTCTTGTTTATATAATTGTTCCCTTCCTTTTTCTATTTTCTTTGTGTTTTATTCTGCAGTTCCTGTCCATTATTTCTGCATTTCCATTGTACTGACTATCCAGGTTGTTGATTGGCTTGTGATTCTCATCGAGTTTGGTTAAAATGTTCCATTGTATCTACAGATTTTTTCTTTCCTTTCCTTCTTTGCTGTACAGAGACCATTTAGACTGTTTGATACACTATTCTGCCTTACTTATTGTCTGATTGAGGGCTAAGGCCAGTGAGACACCTTTCAAAAAGTCATACTTCTGCATTAGTGGGTTTGTATTCTGTCAGTGTACCACAGAATGTCTGAACTAAATAATGCAGCCATAAATGGCTTGGCCAAGTTTAGTCTTCTGCAGTTGCAAGTTGCCAGGTAGACATTTCCTACTGCATTCACTCTTAATAGGAGGGTATGTACATTGTTTTGTATTTTACGGCTAGGCTACGATGTCTGCGCCTTTTGACCCAACAATCCAATTTATGCTAAACCCTTATTGGTCACCTTTTACGGTATGCTTGTTAGGGGGCAGTGGACCTGCTCCCCTTTCCCCAAATAGATCCCAGAGTCCACTTGGGGGAAGACAGTAATGGGGTGCGCTGATGAGGTCTCCATTCCAACATCTGAAAGCACATCATTGTGTGTTGTTCTGTGGTGGGATTTCAACAGCTAGCACTGGTTGACGTTAGTACACAAGTGTCACGATACTACATTGTAACCTGTCTGGAGAGAGTGGCCTAGTTGTTTGCCTGCTGCCCACTGTGTCAGCGACCTGTTTGTTTATCACTGCTCCATTCATGCTGGTTACAGTTGTATTATCAGCAGCTTTCTTGTAGGACATAGTTCTTATGCTTAGTTTATTGTGACTGCATGTCTCATCTCCCTGTTAGCGGTGCCAGCACTGAAGCAGAGAGTACTAACACTGTAACCTTCCTTGATAATATTTTAGTTAGCTCAAGAAGAGTTAGCATGTAACCTTCCTTGCATGATGTAAGGGGAGATCAAGGAGAGTTAGCATGTAACCTTCCTTGCATGATGTAAGGGGGAGATCAATGAGAGTTAGCTCTGTAACCTTCCTTGCATGATGTAAGGGGAGATCAAGGAGAGTTAGCTCTGTAACCTTCCTTGCATGATGTAAGGGGAGATCAAGGAGAGTTAGCTCTGTAACCTTCCTTGCATGATGTAAGGGGAGATCAAGAAGAGTTAGCACTTTAACCTGTCTTGCATGATGTAAGGGGAGATCAAGAAGAGTTAGCATGTAACCTTCCTTGTATGATGTAAGGGGAGATCAAGGAGAGTTAGCATGTAACCTTCCTTGTATGATGTAAGGGGAGATCAAGGAGAGTTAGCTCTGTAACCTTCCTTGCATGATGTAAGGGAAAATCAAGGAGAGTTAGCACTTTAACCTGTCTTGCATGATGTAAGGGGAGATCAAGAAGAGTTAGCAGTGTAACCCTCCTTGCATAATGGAAGGGGAGATCAAGGAGAGTTAGCAGTGTAACCCTCCTTGCATAATGTAAGAGGAGATCCAGAAGAGTTAGCACTGTAACCAAGTTTGACCCCAGAACTCACATTGGATAGTATTCTGTTCATGAATTCAGCAGTTAACTTATAATACTAAAAACATTGATTGATTTCCTGTGTGTGGTAAAATTGACAAGAGGATCAAATCAGGGTCTCCCACATAAGAGCTCACTGGCTAATTGATAACAAACACAAATTCCAAAGGCTGTAAGGCTATACTACTTCTGAAACTACTTTCTAAAACACTTAACCTTTGCCTTGATTGCTGTGTATTCATTTTAAATACAGGTATCTCGTGATCGTAACCAGGGCAGACCGCATCATCTTCAGCAACTGGCCAAAGTGTTGCAGAAGGAGGAGGAAGAGAAAAAGACAAACCCTGTAACACAGCGAGTGAAAATTATTATGGTAATCCACATTTGTATATGTGTAGTAAAACCTTGTTAATATTAATTCCAAGAAAGTGGTGAGAAAAGTAAATGGGCACCTCATGCCATAATGCATTGATTCAATCTTCTTGATCTTCTTTCTCTTAGCGTTCACTGGATGTAAACTCTGGCAGAAAGTTCTTGTTGTTCATCTGCTTCTGGACTGTAGTCTTGTTCCAGAATTGTATTTTACAGATCTGCTTATTTGTGTGTGGACAGTTGGTTCCTTGCTTCTCAGGCAGATGTTCTCCGGCTTTGGAGGAAAGTTTTCAGTTGTAAGCAGTAGTGGTTAGTGGATTATTTTGGCTCTAGGGGTATTCGGGTTGTTTGCCTTGTTCTCTGACATTTGTGAATTTAATTTTGAACTTCGTGGTTCTGTTTGCAAGATCAGATGTTTTAAAGATTATTGGGGTTTGTAGCTGGAGCTGTGGAATGCCATGCTTTGTGTGATGATACCCTCTACAGGAAAACAGCTATTATGGGAGAGAGACCAAGCCATATGGGATAAAACGTATACACTATGTTGATCTTCATGCCTTTAAATTAGAAGTGAATTGCTTATGAATATAGTTCATTTCAAATATGGATACGCCCAGCAAATGTTAATAATATTAAGCCATACAGATACAGATTTAATGCAACAAATGGATTGGGTAATGTAATAACCAATCATGCATATTTGTTCACATTGTTACCCTTTGTGCATCTTTGTTAAAAAATAGTTTTGAAATGCTTTAAAAATTACCTGGAGGTCGATTCATCTTTAGAACTATTTTTCCATTGTTTTGATTTTCAGTCTATCGGCTTAGTTCTGGTGCATGCACACAGTCGCTTTGCAGCAGATGCCGATGTCACATCTGGGACAAGCCTTTTCGTCAAAAATTGTAGGAGATGAGAGAATACACCCGGAGTATCCTCTTTGGCAGTTTTATATCACAAGGTAAGTTGCCAGATACTTCTTCTTGGCATGTATCACTTTAAACTCCACTTTAATCTTGTTCCAAAACCTGTGTTGTGTGGGCACATCCATTTTACAGATCTGGCTTATTTGTGTGCAGATTGTTGGTTCCTTGCCAAGGACAGATGTGTTCAGTTAGAGAAGGTTAATCTTTGTGCAGAGTTGAAATATTTGTGTACCTCAGTGTTAAAGCTACTCTAGATGATGATTCTGAAAAGGATGCAACATCAAGAATTAACAGCAAACCAAGCATTTGCCATGTTTAACAGTATACAGAAGTCAAAAGGTCTTAGTTCGAAGACAACGCTAAGGGGCTTAGTTCGAAGACAACGCTAAGGGACTTAGTTCGAAGACAACGCTAAGGGACTTAGTTCGAAGACAAAGCTCAGGTTATACAAGAGTAATATTTTAGGAATACGAATAAACAATGGTAACTGGTGCAAAATAACATCAGGAATTACCCACAAACTGGAGAATTCGATAAGTGTTGTGGCGAAACAAGATAACAGATGAAGAACTTAGGAAGAAAATTTTTTTGTGCAAACGTTATCAAAGAAGAAAGATATAAATAAACGGCTTGGGTATGTTTGCAGAGTGCCTTATGGCACTATGGCAAGGACAGTTTTCCTATGGACAGCAGATGTAAGAGTCGTAGGAGACTGGAGATGGACATTGAAATTCTTAATGAAAGTCTAAAGTGACGGGATATCATGGGCAGACTGGCAGCAATAAAGATAACGTATGAGTGCTTTATGTGTCGATAGCAACATAAGAGGAGATCAAAGATAAATCTGCAAACTTGTAGATAGACTGTGACCAAAACGCTATATCTGTTTTTGCTTCAGTATTAATTAAATGCCGAGGCTGGCAATCTTGGCATCATCACAGTGTTAGATATGGAGGTTCGCTATTGCTTGGCGGGAAAATGCAGGAGAATATTAAAACAGAATTTCCACACACAAAGACATCACTTACATATGCAAAGCATGACACAGGGAAGTTATATGTGTGCCTGGGGAAAATGTTAAGTATTTTATTGTTTAACTTCGGTTTCCAATTTTTTTTTTTTTTTTTTTCAAACAGGAAAAGGAAATTTCTTGTTGTAAATTGTAAAACTTCATTAACCAAAACTTCAAGGGGCTGAAAAATCAAGAATTTGTGTTTTAAAAAAATGTGTGCTAATTGGGACTAATAAATGCAACAAGAATATTTTATCCCTGCGGGATCCAAATTTTTTTAAAATCTTAAGTGAGTTCTTGTTGACAGGATTTTACTATAATGCGCGCGCACACACACACACACAAATATAGATGCATAGGTCACTTGTTTTGATTTTCAGATTTCTGGCACCAAAGTTAGACTATGGACTGACGCTGATCCTGACCTTGGCGCTGGCTGTGAAGTATGTGTTCTTTGATGACAAGGTGGACCAGGATGTGCAGAGACTGTTGAAGATTGAGGCACCTAAACAAAATGGAGTTGCACATTCGTCCACAAACAGTACACAGGTCATATCCCCTCCGCCAGCAAAAGAAGTTAAACACTGTAAGTATCTAGGGCAGCGGCCCGGTTTCTTCTTCTTTTCATTAGCCCTTAAAAGGGTAACTGGCACATATGTATTGTGGTTTGCAGCTAAGCTGCAGTATCTGTGCCTTTCGGCTCAGCACATCTGATATAATTTAACCAAAATGGGTCAGTGGGTCGGTTCACCCATCCACCAAAATGGGGCAGTGGGTCGGTTCACCTGTCCACCAAAATGGGTCAGTGGGTCGGTTCACCCGTCCATCAAAATGGGTCAGTGGGTCGGTTCACCCGTCCACCAAAATGGTGCAGTGGGTCAGTTCACCCGTCCATCAAAATGGGTCAGTGGTTCAATTCACCCGTCCACCAAAATGGTGCAGTGGGTCAGTTCACCCGTCCACAAAAATGGGGCAGTGGAACTTATTGTCAGGTTTGGGAATGTTGCCTTTTTCAATAGGTCAGTCATTGCTCCAAGGCTGATATGATCAGTGTCATATCTGCCACTTCGCTTTCCAGCACTTTCCCTGGATTTAATTTTAGACAGGTCAGCCTGGGAGCCCAAGTTAAATCAGTTGCTAGCCACTACGTTGCTATGGCTCCTTCAGTCGTGTGTGTTTGACATAAATCACACACCAGCACATACTTTTGCATCATCAGAGCCAGCTGTGAAGTTTTTTTAACCGAGGCCAGTGTAATAATTACTGAACTCATTAACTCTGTCAGTTAATCATGTGTTGACTGGTTACTGCTCCTGACACAATCTGCCTTTTCTAACACATTTTACCTCAAATAGTTGTTATAATAAACTTGTTAACCCAAATGTTACTTTGATTCTTTTGATCCCTGATTGTGGCTATTTTAACCTCTGGATCTGAACAACTATTAACTATTGGTAAACAATGTTTAGCAATCAGTGAGTAAAGTGATACTGAGTTAACCAGCTGTAATGGTTTCCATAGGCGGCGTCCATTGGGAGTCCGACTCGTGATTCCAACATACGGCTATCGAAACCCACTGCTGGCTGCATGAATTTTTATCAAGGTGCGGGTCGGCACAGGTCGACCCAGCCTAAAGTGGGTACCAGGATGTATGTTCTGGGGAAGTAAAGATGGCCGGCGTAATGCTGACCACATTACCCACCAAGTTCGATTGGTCTGTAAAAATATTGGTGCTTTTCCCTAATGCCGGATGCACCTAAGACGTGAAAAGGCATCTTTACCTTTTAAATGGTTTCCATGACTGAGTTAACTGGCTGTAATGGTTTCCATCACTGAGTTTAACCAGCTGTAATGGTTTCCATCACTGAGTTTAACCAGCTGTAATGGTTTCCATCACTGAGTTTAACCAGCTGTAATGGTTTCCATCACTGAGTTTAACCAGCTGTAATGGTTTCCATCACTGAGTTTAACCAGCTCTAATGGTTTCCATCACTGAGTTTAACCAGCTCTAATGGTTTCCATCACTGAGTTTAAGCAGCTCTAATGGTTTCTATCACTGAGTTTAGCCAGCTGTAATGGTTTCCATCACTGAGTTTAATCAGCTGTAATGGTTTCCATCACTGAGTTTAATCAGCTGTAATGGTTTCCATCACTGAGTTTAAGCAGCTGTAATGGTTTCTATCACTGAGTTTAGCCAGCTGTAATGGTTTCCATCACTGAGTTTAACCAGCTGTAATGGTTTCCATCACTGAGTTTAATCAGCTGTAATGGTTTCCATCACTGAGTTTAACCAGCTCTAATGGTTTCCATCACTGAGTTTAAGCAGCTCTAATGGTTTCCACAATGGTGTAGCCCTCTTCATTTGTTTCTGCAGGCAATGGTCTAATACTACCTGCTGTGGAGAAGCTGCCAGAGGTCAAACCTGCATTTTTCTTGGGCTCCCAGGATTCAGATGAGACCAGCTCTGAGGAAGAGACCAGGAAAGACAATGAGCCATCAGGCAGTCATAAGGAGACACAGACAGACCCAGACATCACCAGGCTTGACCAGAAAGAAGATGACATCCAGGCTCCACATTTCTTATATGAACCAGATCTGTCCGACAAGGCCCCACGACCAGTTGATGAGTGTCTGTCCATTATGAACTCAGACGTAAGTGCTTGCTGTTGTAACAAAGCATGAACATTTCTTTTGGTTTTATGGTTTTTTTTTTTTTTTTTTTCTTTTTAATCAGGGTCCAAAATAAAAATCCTATTATTCTGCACAGTACGTGAAGACTACCCTGAATTCTCATGCTTACAGAAAGAAAAAAACATGCGAGCACCCTGCACAAACCAACGCCCCCACCCCCTTACACTGCAAAAGTGTTGTAAACACAGGCAGTCTTCATCGTCTTTGTGTTTACCGGCAGTAAACTCCGGCGGAAAGTTCTGGTTGTTCATCCACCTCTGCATTTTGACTTTTTCCACAACCTGAGTGTTGCATTCACATCTGTTTTACAGAAACTTTAGACTTGTTCCAGAATCTGAGTGTTGCGTATGCAGACTGCTTGTTCCTTGCCTCTCAGGTAGATGCTCTCCGACTTCGAGGGAAACCCCCAATTAGTCTACTTTTACAATATGCTTGTTGGGAAGGCAGTGGGTCTTTATTTTCCTCCACAATGGGGCTCTTAAACCCATACGGTTAAATACAGATATTGATGCTCCATCTTCAGAAGCTAGTGAGGATTTCCAGTAATAGTGGTAGCAGTTTGCTTGTCTGTATGTCTATCCTGCCTTGCCTCTGAGTGGACAGTGTCAGCCATAGTCCCTGGTCATTGGTGGCTGCACTATTCTCTCTAGGCTGTAATGGTCTGTTCACTCTTTCACATTGTTCTCTTTCTTTCAAGGGTTAGAACGGTTTGAAGGATTATTGGTCAGCACAAGTATAATTACCAAAGGGCTTTATGCTGACAAGCTTTCACCAGCCAGCAGCTGCAGGACCATAGAACACATCACAAAGAAAAGATATTACTCTGAGGCAGGGCTATTCAGCTGGCCACCTACGATATCTGGCCTGCTGAGGCCTAGCAAGTGACCCCCAGATCATTGTCAGTTGTATTAGTGGTCTTTCTCTGCTGGGGCTCTGGTCCATGATGATCCCCATTTTCAAAATTGGGGTAGTTGAATAGCCCTGCTGTAAGGGAACAATATTATGGCACTGAGTACTATTATACCTAATAAGTATACTCAGGGAGATAGGGATGGGTTAGGTACAAAGACCGTGGTTGGTGTCTCTAAGGCAGTCATGGCTTGCGAAGATCGGTTTCATTTTCATGCCAGCGCATGTGGCTGTACAGGGAAATGAGCAGGTTGATAGGCTTGCGGATAATATTACCAAAGGGGGCAGAAGAGCTGCAGACCAGGCTGATATACTGAGTACTTTTCAAGAGGTAACACATTTGGAAGAACCATGTGATGACTGAGTCAGCCAACATGTGAGGACTGCAAGAACATCATGTTAAACAGGGTGTGGCTGAACAAGAGCAATATGCAGACAGCCACAGAAGAAGAATACGCCAACACAGAAATGGTATTGTCAGCTGCGACAAGCTTCAGGGTTGACTAAGGGACCCAAGCATTTCTGGACTGAATGGTTCGGTGTGCAGTAGTGATGATCTGTTGACTAACTTACATCAAGACAGTAAGATAGATACAAATGTAAAACGAATGTGGTAGAGTTATGCAGTTTAATCTTATGGAACTGTAATGAAAAGGGAATGCCAGATGTATTTTTTTGGAAAAGGGGGGGGGGGTATAAACCTTTATGACAGTGGGTGTGCTCTGAAGATTATTGTAAAGTTGCAATGAGAGATCATTAAAAGCATTGCATCCTCTCCCGGTTTTCTGCTTTCTCATTTTTCTTCTTTCTGGTTTTCTTTGTACTTCCCTCAGACATTCTTCCTTCTCAGCCATGACCAAATAGTTACAAATGCTTTCCTCAGATTGGCCCCCAGGCACTATCGGATGAAGAAGTGAAGATGCTTGTCATTTCTAAGCATATACCTGCGTACAAGCTGGAGAGTATGCTTGCCAATCACACCAGAGGAGTAGCCATCAGGTAGGACTGTAGCCCTGTGTGTCTTTTTTTTCAGTTTTTATTTGTACTGTTGTATTCACAACTTACTGCAGAATTTACAATGTTCTCTACATATTAGACCACTTTGAGCTTACATGTACTCATAGAATGACATTTTTAAGCATTTATATTCCTGCTTTGGTCCATTAAAAGGCTTGGCATGTTAGGTTGTGGTTCACAGCTAGGTTGTGTAAACAACAGGTGATAGATTTGGTATTCACCAGGTGATAGATTATTTTTCCAGGTGGTAGTATCCATTCTTGTGAGGCAGTTGTCAGTACAAAAGGTAAAGTCAAAAGATGTGAACCAGCGTCATTGCACATGGTTATAAACCATAAGTGCTCTGCCACCAGTACTGACATCTGACAAAAAACTGTCCTCCTGTGTTGTCGTCCGCACGCAAATCTGTAGCTACAGCGACATTTCTCTATTTACCCCAGAGTGTTAACTCTGGTACCCATAACATTACCTGGAGGCTGGGTGAAACCTGGAAACTGCCCAGTTTTGAAGGCAAGTTTCCTGTCGGCTACGCTAGTGTGGTCCTCTTGTCATTACTGGTCAAGCAAATTCAAGACACAGTATATACATGTACACTAAAGGTTAAAAATTAGTGAGTGTTTCTACCTGTTGTATACACAAGACAGTGTGTGGCTGTTTTGTCAGTGTAATAGTAAAGATTGGATATTTTTCTAGTTTAAAGGTGTAATTAGCTAGTAATGTATGCATATTTTTCTATCCTCTTATCCACTAGACGACAAATACTGGCTGAAGAATTGCCATCAAAGAATGCTTTGGATTCTCTACCTTTCATGAATTATGATTACAAATATGTAAGTCTACCTTTCATGAATTATGATTATACAATTATGTAAGTCTACCTTTCAAGAATTATGATTACAAATGCAAATATATAAGTTTCTACCTTTCATGAATTATGATTACAAATATGTAAGTACAGTCAAGTCCACTTAAGTCGAACTCGGATACGTCAAATTTTGGGAAGGTGGCATGACCAGCTTAGCCCCGGCAATTTTCTCTCTATTGTGTGTGATGTCTGGATAAGTAGAAATCCTGATAAGTGGAAGCATTTTCTTAGGTCCCTGCGACTTCTACTTATCCAGCCTCGACTGTATCTACCTTTTATGAATTATGTTTACAAATATGTAAGCGCCTGTCTGCCTTTTGTGAATGGTGATTACCAGTATGTAAGTCATCTGTCATTATGTTGAAGTATCAACAGTAAGAAATGTTTTGTAAAAGCAAATAAGTAATAATGTACTAGAAGACTATACTAAAGGATAAATTGCATTGAGAAAATTAACAGTATTTGGTGATTACTGTTGAATAACTTCTTGCTTTGACATGTGTACATATATAATATTGATGTAAATGTTGTGGAAAATGAAAAGAAGGTATAAATAAAGAGTTATTAGGAGATTCATTTTGAGCATTCAAAATAATATTGTATACCCCTGAAAGATGTTTAAAAAAAATTAACATTTGTGGCAAATATGCAAGAAAAGAGCTGGTTTAAATGGTGCCTAAGTTGAAAGGGTAGACAAGGAAGAATTGCTTAAACTGCCAGTATGACAGTTGCTTGCGGATTAGAGGTTAGTGAATGCTATAAATAGTTTCATGATCCTCAAGTACTAGGGGTTATTTGTATTTTTTCGTTTTTTTTTTTGAAGCCCTACTCTGGCTCTTGCCAGGGGCTGCAATATAGCCTGGCCATAAATATGGCCTAAAGGCTGAATGTGGTTTCTGGGACCTCTACACAGTGATCCTCACCCGCATGGTGGCACATTGTGTTTATCGCTTGTGTGCTGTCCTGGTGGGGTAGAAAGTCAGTCAAGTACTGGGTTCATCTCCTGCAGTAAAAAGTTTGAAAAAAGCTGTTTTTGTGGAGTTTTGACAGTGGTTTAAAAATCGCGCCTTGAAGATTGGGGTCTTAACTCATAATATTCCCCCAAGAACACGTGGTGCCCTATAGCCAACCTTGATTGTGCATATGGCACGTATTTTTCTTTTTAATGACAAAATAAATAAAGTGAACATTCGCTGCAGCCTAGCTTAGTTGTGAAGATATCAGCTGAATCGGCTCTCATCGTGTGTTGTATTTTTCAGGTTGTTGTATTTATTAACGGAAATGTCTTGGGATCATCAGGTTGACGGAGCTTGCTGTGAGAATGTCATTGGTTACATGCCGGTCCCTGTTGGTGTTGCTGGCCCTCTGCTCTTGGATGGGGTTCTCTTCCATGTTCCCATGGCGACCACTGAAGGATGTTTGGTGGCCAGTACAAATAGAGGCTGTCGAGCTTTACAGGTACTGACAGATTTACTCTTTGGTCAAGATTTAAAGTAGCTGTGGTGGCTCGGTGGCTAGACATTTGCCTGCCAGTCTGAAGGTCTTGGATTCAAATCTCAGTGCAGTTTAGTTTTTATTCTTGTCCAAGAGCTGCAAAGTCCGCCCAGCCTTAAGTTGTTACCAGAAATATTCTGGCAGTTGAAGGCTACCAGCACAGTCTTGAACTAATACATCACCCAATGAGTGAGGTTTTTTTTTTTAAATAACAGTCTGGCTAAAGCACTTGGTGTTTGGATTTGCATTGCTAGTGATTGTTCCATTTTTATAGTCTAGCTTGTATTGCCCTTTGGTGTAGATGTGGTCTAAAGGTATTCATTTTCTTTTAATTAATACATACAACTGACTAGAGACATGCCTAAGCATGTCATAAGAGATGACTAACAGTACGGTGTGGCTACCTCATCCCCTGACAATTATGGAGAAGTCTCATCATCATTAAGTGCCTTGCCAGCTGGCGCGGGCAGTCATGCCTCTCCAAAATCTGCGACTACATGTATCAGTTCATGTATTGACACCCTTCCATGCAATGACAAATGACTTTAAGAATCTTCTCCCCTGTCTTCCTCTAGCACTCTTTCCCCAGATCTTTCCAGTTGTCACAACATGTTTAATTTTCCCACTTCTCATAACATGACTAAAAAAATGATGACTATCTTTCTGATGTTTTTGATAAGTTGTCTTCGAGCATTTGCCTCTTTCAAAACATCAAATTCTACGGATTCTTCTGTAAAACCACATCTCTGCGTCCTCAAGATATTGTTCAGGTTGTTTATTAATTGTCCAAGTTTCACAGCTGTATGTTAAAACTGGCTCTATATAGCATGTAAGAATTCTTTCCCTAACCTCCAATGACTTGAATTTATTGCATACAATTTTCTTTATTTTGTAAAATGCAGTTTCGGCGTGTCCTCATCTCTATGACATATCTTCCATCGGATGTTATCCTTGTGCGTAGATACTTGAATTTCTGTACGTCCTAAAATAATGCCTTTGATTTTTATCGTACTTTTAGGCTCTATATTCTTTTCTTGAAAATCACCATTATTTCTGTCTTCCCAGTATTCAAACTGAGGCCCATTTTATCACTTTCTATCACCACCACCGCATCTGTCAATTCCTATAGTTCTTTCTGTCTTGTCGATGTCAAGACAGTGTCATCAGCATAATGTAGGTTGTTTATGTTATGCCCACCAACGAAAATTCCTGGCTTATCTATGATAGATTTCATTTTATGTTCACTGTATAAAGCAACACACAAAAATCAGGTGATGTTCCCAACTGCTTATTAATTCTTATAGCTGCTGTTTGCTGCCAATACATGTTCCTTATAATTTGTAAATCTTTCCCATCAATGTTTAACTTTTCCAATAGATTGATTCTTTCTTCATGTTTCACACAATCAAATGCTTTCTTATAGTCAATGAAACAAAAGTAAAGATCGTTGTTTTACTTTATAGCTCTTTCTGAAAGAGTTCTGAGGATGTACTGGTCATTGTTTATACCTTTTCCTTCCACAAATACACATTGTTCTTCACTACTTTTTGGTTTAATCTTGTTTTGTATTCTTCTCATCATTATTCTCAGTAAAAAAAATTTGTCACATGACTCATAAGACTTGTGGAGGTCTACAAAAGTAATAAGTAATTTTCAGCCAGCTAATAGAAAATTTTTTTTTTTTTTTAATTGTTGAAAAAGATACTAGAGAATTAAGTTAAAAAAAAGCATGGTAAGGACATTGCCTGTTGCATCCAATAGTGAGGATACAATGACTTGCCCTGCATGGTTTGAGAGCTTTTGTTCATTTGAGTTGAAAAGAGCGGGCAAAACAACACAAAAACGGATTTGAAAGATACCTCAGAAACATCTTATTGTATGTATCAGCAGTTGGTGAGTGGAGTCATGTGGGGCATTGGCTAGCTTGCCTGTATGCCAACACAGTGGTCGTGTGTTTAAATCCCTCTTGAGGCAGGGATTCATGTTAAGTGAATTTGGTTCCCAGGTGGACCCCAATGAAAATATGTTTGTTGGGAATTTTGATGGAAGTTAAGGGCGCTGACCACACACCCATCTTTTTCTCTTATGATCTCATTTGTTCTTCTGCGTTTGCAGAAAAAGGTGGTTTGCATATTGTGTTGTGGTTTACAGCTAGGCTGTAATATCTGCCCCTTTAAGCCATCACATCTTATCTTAGCAAATCCTTTATTACTTCTCTTTTTCAACATGCCTTTTAAGAAGCAGGGGATCTTCTGCGAAAGGCGAATGAACAGTAGACCAGTGATATTCTGCATGCTCTTCAAAAGTAAGACGTTTGTGAGAACCAAGTCATGACTGTGAATCTGCAACATGACCAGACTGCAAGAATAAGTTAAAAAGGGGTGAGGCCAGATAAGAGCACTATGTAGACAGAAAAAAAGAAGAAGAAACCAACCAACACTGTACTGGTGTCAGCTGCTACAGGCTGTGGGGTTTACTGAGTAGGGGATCGGAGCACTTAAGGATTTGATGTGGTGCAGAGAGGTTGGTCTGTAAACTAACAGATAGAACAGTTGAACAGATTAGTAGCTATTTGCCAAGTTGATTTGCTTCTGTGCTCAAATCTAAAACATGCATGAACTGATTTCTTCCATCAGCAAAGTGGAGGAGTTACAAGTGTTGTTACCAATGATGGTATGACAAGAGGCCCTGTAGTTCGATTTCCAACAGCAAAAAGAGCCAGGTAATATTTCTGGGATGCTTTTTTTTAAAATTCAGTTGTCGATTCATGTAGTCTAGTTCGAAACATACAGAAACGCAGTCACTTATCTGAAGAAAGAATGTTCCTTCCTGTGAGCTGGGAGATGTTTGAGATATCATCCTCACTGTAGTTCTAAATTTATTGCAAATTTACAATCACATATTTACACTCTAATGGTAATTCCTAAACCATATCGTTACATGCAGTGAGAGGTACAGTGTAGCAATGGATTACGTGATTTGTCTGTTTCAATTGAAATGATTCATTTGTGTATTTTATTATATGTTGAATATTCTGTTTTGTACACCTCATGCAGTGAAATAAACAAATAAATATAATTATCAATAAAATAAACAATAAATTGTTTTTGTACTGATTATTTGAATACAGTATGCTAAAAATAAAACCACTAAATGATGTTAGCTTTCTGTTTTCAGTGAAGCCAAGCTGTGGCTGGAAACACGCGACAACTTTCGACCTCTTGAAGGAATGCTTTGATGCCACCAGCAGGTAAGGATACTGATCAATTAAGGAGCTAATAGATTCACCGCAGGACACTGATGTGTATATTGAAGGGGGAATCTGAGTGTCTGTGGATGTTTCAGAGTACAATAAAGATAACCCAACTCAGCTCAAATATACTGACATCATCGCCCTTCAGATAGCATTTACTCACACAAAATAGAACTTAGCACCCTCTCCTTGGTTTCCCACGATGATAGAAAAATGGCTTTCGAAATTGTGATTGATAGTCTCCCTGACAAAGTGATCAAGCTGCCTGCATTGCACTCTGAATGTCATGGGTTTGTTTCACAGATAGTTCTCAGTTGCACTTTTAACAGATCCTTGGGGATCATCACTGGAGCTGCAGAGTTCATGCTTTGTTTAATACTCAGTTCAGGTGACAGGTTGCTCAGTGGAGGGAAGCTGGGTCAGGTCATGTGGGATAAAACCCAGTTAAGTCAGCACTTTGACTTAACTTTACGGTGATTGATAATTATGTCAGAGGTAATTTTGAACATTTTGATAAATTTTTTTTTCTTATCCTGTTTGTGATATAGTTTCATTTGTGTCATAGACATCTGGGGCCACTGTTTCCTGGCCTGTTTATCAATCTTGATGTCGACCAGTATTTCCTTGACGGTTTAATAAATTAAAATAATACGGATATACAGTCATCATCATGAGCCTTGCTAGTTGGCATAGACGTTCATCTCCACAGATCACGATCCCTGGTTGCCTGAAACAGCTTTCCTGGTGATATCCCTCCATGCCATCGTTTCAGCCCATCCAGCATCATCTCTCTTGGTCTGTCTCTACGCCCTTTTTCACTGATCTTTCCAGTTGTCACGATGTTATCCAGTGCCTCTTTTCTCATTACATGGCCAAAGAACAATGTTTGCCTCCTTCTTATTGTTGTATATAGAGATTGACTTTCATTAGCTTCTTTCAATTAATTGTTGTTAGTTACTCTGGCCATCCAAGGTATTTGTAACGTTTGTCTCAAAAACTACATCTGTTGCTTCCAAATTCTTAATTTGTTCACTGGCGTTCCAAGATTTGTTGCCATACAGTAAAACAGGTTCTATGTAACATTTTAGCACCCTCTGTCTGACATGAAATGAGAGCAACTTATAAAAACAAGACATTGCATAATCTATTGCAGGGCATATTTAGCTGCATCTCACCAGGTGCATTACTGCAGTTACATGCAGTTAGATGACCGGAAATACATTGTGCACTGTATTGTTTATATCCGTCTTACTTAAATTCATTACAGGAAAACATTGTTTAATTAAACTTGACAAAATTACAACTGTCACATGGTTATACTTGCCAGGTTTGCTCGACTGAAGAAGCTGCATATTGGCCAAGCTGGCAGAAGTTTGTATATAAGATTTGTGTCCACCACCGGAGATGCCATGGGAATGAACATGTTATCTAAGGTATTGTTGTCTTGTACTGCTGTAGTTAAATATAAATATATGGCAAATGCCCCATGTTATCTAAGGTATAGTTGTCTTGTACTGCTGTAGTTAAATATGAATATATGGCAAATGCCCCATGTTATCTAAGGTATAGTTGTCTTGTACTGCTGTAGTTAAATATGAATATATGGCAGATGCCCCATGTTATCTAAGGTATAGTTGTCTTGTACTGCTGTAGTTAAATATGAATATATGGCAGATGCCCCATGTTATCTAAGGTATAGTTGTCTTGTACTGCTGTAGTTAATTATGAATATATGCCCCATGTTGTCCGAGGTATAATTAATTCTTGTACTGCTGTAGTTAAATATAAATATATGCCCCATGTTATCTACAGTGTAGTTTTTGTCGGCTGTAATAGCTAAATATGAGCATATGTCTCTTGTTAGAGGCTACGATTGCATTGTCTTTCATTTATGTACTTAACCACACCACTGGCCCAGGTTCAAGTCCCAGTTATTACATCATTCGTTCCCCAACCACTGATAACATGTCTGGCGAGGAAGGGCATTGGCCTCTACACTCTTGGCCTAACCTACATGTGCATGATGGCTTCACAGAATAATGTGTCTAATGTGATCCCCTCACATATGCTGTGCTAGAATAGATAATACTGCTTCTTGTTGTTGTTGAAGTTTGTTCTGTTTTCTTTCCACTAACCCCCACTCCAACAGTTAGATTTCTTTCCCAGCATAGTCTAAGGAAGATTGGAAAATACTGTTTTTTTCCCTTCTCTTCCCTCCCCCGCGTGTGTGTGTGCCTGTGACTGCGTGTGTCTGTGTGGGTTTATGTCTGTGTGCCCCGGTGTGTGTGTTTGTATGGGTCTTTTTGTGCGGCTACGCGTGTATGTATGTGTATATCTGTTGGTTGTATGCGTGTGTGTTTTAGAGCGTGTGAGTGTGTGTATGAGAGTGTGTGTGTATATATGCATGTATGTGTGTGTGTTCATATGTATGTGTGTATTGGGTGCCTATGTGTATAAGTGAGTGAGTGGGTTTGCGTGCGCACATATTTTACCACCCATGCTTTTGTTTTTGACTTGATATTCATAATATGCATATTATTACATGATCATAACATGCTTTATTGATGAGATACAACTGCTGTGTGAAAGATGGGAGTTTGGAAGGGCCGAATGTAAGACAGGCCTGTGTGCCTAATTTGTAACCCTTTAAAAATAAATTTTGTTCGTTCGTTACCCCATCCTTTTTATGTGCCAGATTGAATGTGTCTGTTTTGGTTTTACTTGATAATATCCATCCTGATTTTAACAGGGCTCTGAGAAATCACTGAATATGTTGATAGAGATTTTTCCTGACATGGAAATCATCAGTCTCAGTGGCAACTATTGTACTGACAAGAAGCCTGCAGCAATCAACTGGTATGTCTGACTGTGATTGTACAAACTGCTATCTGTGCAGTTTTCTTCTTCATCTGTACTAAAGCTATACATTATGTGTCGTATTGTACCAATAAGGGTCTTGCAGAGGTCCATGACCACATGTGCTGGTGGTGTGCCAGGTAAAAGTCAAGCAGAAGAGCCTTATCCTGCCAGTGGCATATCGGAATATAGTGTTAACCTCATATTTTTATATACCAATTAGCCCTTGATGGGTAATATGGTTAACATCTCGCCGGCAGCCTTTACTTCCCAGGACCTTACCTGGTACCCATTTTAGAGCACATTACCCTGAGGGCAAGGAACCAACAGTCTGCATACAAATAAGCCAGATCAGTAAAATTGGTATGCATGCAACACTGAAGTCCTAGAACGAGACCAAAGTCTGGTCATGAACAATCTAGACTTTCTGCTAGAGTCCACAGCCGGTAAACACAGAAGAAGTACATTAGAAACAGTCATTTGGGTTTAGTTGCCACTGGAGAAGGGTTGTTTCCTACCAGACTCTGAGATCAGACCAGCCTCCTAACATTTGTAATGTCTCGAAAAGCAAAGTGATGAAGAAAGGCAACTGGCCATGTTGTCCCATATGTTCTGGCCTAGATTATGTGGCTTAGAGGTGAGTTTAATGATTTCAACAGTTTTGTGAATCTCAAGTGCTAGGTTTTGATCTCCGTATTGGGTGCCCCCCCTCCTACACACACACAAACAAGCCTTTCTTGTGATTTTTCAATCAGTGGTATGAGAGTCTCACCATGGACAAGATTGAACCCCTCACTACTTAATATTCCCAAAGACAGCACGGAATGCTCTGTTGTCAGCCTTTGTGTGGAGACACATTCTAACTCCCTTTATGTGGTTTTTGGTCTGCTTTTATTGTTATGCCCCTGTTGGTTACGTTGTATAGACATTCTATATTCTCAGGTTTTCTCAGTAATGGTCCTGTTCAACACCAGCATCTTTTATTCTCCTGTTGATTCAGTGGAATTTGTTTAGTTCCCTCTCAGTGATTTTCTCGTACCATTTGATTCTCTCTGTTCTTCCCAGGCAACACTTAATGAATGCTAATAAAATACTGTTGCTAAATTATGAATTGCAGGATTGAGGGTCGTGGAAAATCTGTTGTGTGTGAGGCAATCGTGAAAGCCAATGTGGTCAAAAACACTTTGAAGACAACGGTGCCAGCTTTGGTTGAGCTCAATGTCAGCAAAAATCTGGTAGGCTCTGCGATGGCGGGCAGTATTGGGGGCTTCAATGCACATGCATCCAACATTGTCACGGCTGTCTACATCGCATGTGGCCAGGTGAGCATTTGTAACCAATTTGTAGTATTAATTTTTTTTTCTTCTAAATGTTTTGTGTTTGTGAGGAGATCACTGTGTTTCATCTTCTTCTCACACTTTTAGATGTCAGAATGAATAAATTTAAAGAAAACAACAGTCCGCTTGAGGTTGTTGACATCTCCACATTGTCCTCGGATGGAGTGAGTGTGGATCAGAAAAATTATACCTTTCACTTGGTTTCATACCTTTTCATAAGTCAGAATAATTTTCTGTGCTTACCGAATCTACTGTTAATTCATCAGGTTTTTTGCATATCCTTTACAGAAGGTTGCAGATCCAGTCCTAGCATTTTTTTTTTCTGTTTATGATTTCACTAGGCAGTTTTATGTTGACTTGTTTGCCATGCTTACTGAACAGTGTAGCGGTTCTCAAACTGGGTGCCGCAAACGAATGCCAGGAGTACCGCAGCAGTAATCACGAAATTTTTCAAAATTGCTTGAGATCAGCGAAGACACCATTTTAAAACAAATACCATAAAAAGAAGAGTTCTGGATGTGCTATTGGCAAGGCTGCAGTGCATTATCAATGTACGCTTACATTAAAAAACAGATGTAGTGGCAACTTTCAAGTGATTAGATGGTAAAATTTCGCTGTGGCGAAAAATTTAGAAACGCTTGAGCAGCTGTTTGCTGCAGCTGGGATCAAATATGCTACCTTGGAATTACAAAGCAAGTTTGCAACTTCTACGCCACAGATGCCAACAAACCTGTCTTTAATTTATTGAACAAGTGGTATTCAAATCAGTTATGTCCTTTGCGGGCAACACCAGCTGTTTATAGGCTGAACAAAATACGGAATTCAGTAATGATATAGTATTAACATAAAGTTATATATTTTTAATTATAATATTACTTCCGATTTAACATTTGCCAACAGAAGTTGGACGGACACTAAATAAGACATGGACGAAAAGTTAAAATGCATTGGAAAACAAATTCTTAAGGGGATAAATAAACATTAAATTTGATAAGAGAAATGTCTAGAAAACTGCTTATATCAACGTGAGAAATGGAAGATGGCAGTTTACTCAGCACACAGTGAGAAGCAGGCAGAATCACTTAACAGGCATTGTAATGAGAAACAGATGTGTTGAAGATGCGAGGGAAATTCCACTACCAAAGCTCCCAGTTAGGATGTGGTCAGGTCATTATTCAGCATGGTACATACAGACTTGCTCCAGTTAGGATGTGGTCAGGTCATTATTTAGCATGGTACATACAGACTGGTTCCAGTTAGGATGTGGTCAGGTCATTATTCAGCATGGTACATACAGACTGGTTCCAGTTGGGATTATGTTGATAATTTGCTTCCACTGTTTTGTTTTTGTTTTTAATATTTCATGGAAACCACACACAGTCGCTCACCACATGCAGATATGGCTCTGTACTCTTGAATTGGGTGTCGCCGTGGTGTAGCGGCTAGACTCTAGCCTACAAATTGGAAGAACATGGGTTCGGGTCCTAACGGACCCGGCCTTTCTTTCTTTTTTTTTTTTTTTTTTTCCCAATGACATTGGCTCATAATTTTCAGGACCCTGCTCAAAACATTGCAAGCTCAAACTGTATGGTGTTGATGGAAGCAGCTGGGCCCCTCGGTGATGACCTTCACATTTCATGCACCATGCCCTCTATTGAAGTCGGCACTGTTGGTGGGGGCACTGTGTTACCACCCCAGGCCTCATGTTTGCAGGTGAGTTGTTTAGACAGAGTGCTGTATTGTATGTTTTATAGATTCCCTTTGATGGTTCCGGAGGGGGAGGGGGGAGGGTGGTGTCTATATACCCGCTGCCTTTATGACAAGCATGTTGTAAAAGGTAACTGATTATGGTTTTTTCCTCCCAAGTCAGAGTGCATCTACCTGAGAAGTGAGGAACAACCAGTCTGCATAGAAGTAAGTCAGATCTGTAAAATGGATGTACATTCAAATTCAAGTCCTAAAACAAGACCAAAGTCCAGGAATGGATGAACAACCAGAACTTTTGATCAGAGTTTACAGCCGATGAATACTATGAAGAAGAAAAACATGGTATGATATATAGATAAGCTGAGTACCCTTGTGACTTCAGGGGCATGTTGTGGTCTGACCTACTGCTCTGTAACTAAGTATTTTGTAAAGATGACTAATTAGGGGCTAGCTGGATGTGTTGGTCCAAAAGTGCACATATCGCAGCCTAGCTGTAAACAACACAACATGCCTATTGCCCTTTTAAGAGTGAATCCAAAAGTAGAGAATGATGTGAGCAGTGAGTATTATATAAAACTTGATTTTCTGATCTTTTTGGACACATGATTCTAGACCAAATTCTTATGCACCAATCAGCACATGATAAATTATGGTCAGTATGACGCCCGCCGCACTGTCATGTCTTGGTCAGGTATGACTGAGACAGTAGTCAGTTCTATCTGTTCTCTTTTAACACTGAATGTTGGACAGCAGACTAATACTGACATTACACTTGTGCCAGTGGCTTCAGGCTGAGGAGTGCATTGAGAAGAGGTGCTTATCTTATCCTTGGAACCGGAAATGTTACCTGAAAACTTGATGTTATGGCAGGGCAGTCCAGGCTCTTAGCTTAGGATGCAGCTGGTCTAGGAAGGAAGCTCTGACAGGCAGACAGACAGCACTGCTGTTCTGATCCTGCAGCATGCTTTGTTCCGAGAGGAGAAACTTCTACTATGCCACCATGTAGCACAATATAACACTGCTGTGTGGAAAAGGGCCAATGATACCAGCACTTGGGGCCCCCTCAGTAGTGATTCAGCCTAGTAATATTTAGCCCTAAAGGAGAGCCTTGAGGATTCTGTGGTGGGCGGTATATAGACAGCTGATGTGAAACTTGAGTATACAAATTCTTTTTCCTTTTCCTGTTTTGCCTTTTAACAAGGCATACTGAACATTAAAATGGTTGATCTGAGTACTGTATTGTGCATACCTGGGTAGTAGGCAGCCGCCAGTCCTTGTGGTATTGGTATTGTGCCGCCAGTTTTTGGGAACGCGTCTGCTATGACTGTTTCTGTCCAGCATGGAAGTGGCAGTATCTGCCACTTAGTCCGCATAAAACATTGATACGCTATCGCTCCGAGGCTGGCTTTCTCTGGCGTCTTCTTTCTATAGTTGCTGCATTTGGCCTATTTCAGTCTGCACCAGTTCCATCTTTCACTGGCCTGTCTGCCCCCAAAGGAGTTGGTCTGCAGCTGATCTCCCCCGCGGGCAGCGTCATTGTTGATACCACCATGTGGTATACAGCCCACATCTCTTTTATATTCAACATTTGGTAGGTTTGAAAATTGTTATAGACAAAAACACTATTAAACAACACTTTCCTTTTAATATCTAAAATGTTTATATTTTACAAGTTTTCTAGTAGAGCTCCTCAAGATTGGTATGATATATATATAAGATAATATTTCTGTGTAGTAATTATGAATCTACCAATTTGTGTATGTTCAGATGCTGGGCGTGAAGGGATCTAACATAGAGAATCCTGGTGAGAATGCCCGACAGCTTGCTCGAATTGTTTGTGCCACAGTTTTGGCAGGAGAGCTCTCACTCATGTCTGCTCTGGCAGCTGGACACTTAGTCAAGTCACATCTCAAACACAACAGGTCAGACTTTTATGTTTTATAGTAATTTAGTCACATCTTCAACACAAGTCAATCTGAAATATTTTGTTTATGGTAATTTAGCCACATCTTCAACACAAGTCAGTCTGAAATATTTTGTTTGTGGTAACTTAGTCACATCTTCAACACAAGTCAGTCTGAAATATTTTGTTTATGGTAATTTAGTCACATCTTCAACACAAGTCAGTCTGAAATATTTTATTTATGGTAATTTAGTCACATCTTCAACACAAGTCAGTCTGAAATATTTTATTTATGGTAATTTAGTCACATCTTCAACACAGGTCAGTCTTATGTGTTTTATGTATGGTAATTTAGTCACACCTTAAACACAACAGGTCAGTCTTATGTGTTTTATGTATGGTAATTTAATGACATAAAACACAAGAGGTCAGGAAAATTATTTATTCATGGTAATTTATTCATGTTTGATCTTATGATGATAAGCTTACTTGATACTTTGTCCTAGAATGCACATATACAAACTTCTTATTGATAAAATATGTTGATAATGTTCATAAATTATTTTGTTAAGAGCACACATTTTTTAAATTCATTAACACTTGTTAACGACAAGAAATTTGTTTTTCAAACCATGACTAAATAATTCTTGTTTGTCTGCAGATCTACCCTAAACATGGCTCCCACAGCCAGCAAAGTCACAGAGCCTACTACCCTTTTAAGGCATGCAGCCACAACTCCCGGCATGTGCACAAGTCAGGCATCATAACCAGACCACCTTCCACATACTGGGACTGAATGACACAACTCATCCATCACTGTGTTTGCAGAAAGGCTCATATGATCTGCTGTTAGTTTAGTGAATTTCTTTTATATTATCAAAACAAAGTTTTGAAGTTTTGGATCATTCCATTGAGCTCACCAAATGGCATTTAATTTAAAATATTACATGTAACTGCATTTGTAAACTCTGAAAATTTTATTTGAAAAAAAACAACAACAAATATGTACAGAGTATTTGTGAGTAATGAAAAGATCATGCTGATGTGACATTCGGGTATTGTAGTAGCAGTAGTTTGTTTTTGGTTCAGGGTGTAGGTGGTTTGTCATTGTTGCATCATTTCATAGGTTATTGGTTTCATTTTATGTGTTTTTGTTGTGGTTTTGTTTTTTAAATATTTTATATATATTTCTTTGTTAGATCATTTTGTATTTGTTATATTTGAAATAACTCGGGCATATATTCTAATCAAGTTGAGTGAATTCATTGTGTTTAAAATTACTGATCTGCAGTTTTCCCGTCTGGGTTCTGGGCGCCACGTTTTGAAGAAGGGGGGGGGGGGGGGGGGGTCCGCTGCTTCCTTAATAAGCATGTTGTAAAGGGTGGCTAAAAAGGGTTTTGTTGAAATGTGTTGGGATGATAGGTGCAGATATCACAGCCTAGCTATAGGCCGCAACATAGTGTGCCAACTGTCCTTTTAAAGGCGAATGCAGTAGTAGAAAAAGAACTGACATGCAGTGTATATCTGTTGCTAAAATAGTTTTTGCTTTCTGAATAAGGGCTAGAGAATTACATGAGGATTGAGTTATCGTTAGGGTTATCCTTACAGCACTCCAGACACAACCATAGGTGCTCAGCTTGCCCACTCAACAGGGACACCAATGAGGTGTGAATGTACCAGAGTGTTCATTGTTACTGATCTGACTACGATTGTTTCAGGTTTAGCTCATCTGATAACGAGCAGTGTTTAATGTTTCAGACAAATGTTCTTTACCTTCTTCTTCTTCTTCGGGTTCACCAGCTGTACACTCTGGCGGAAAGTTCTGGTTGCTCGTCCACTATTGAACTGCAGTCCTGCTCCAGAACCTGAGTGTTGCTTGTGCATCAGTTTTACAGATCCCATTCTCTTGAATATAGACTGTTGGTTCCTTGCCTCTTCAGCAGATGCACTTCGACTTCAAAGAAAGCTCCCCAATTAGTCGACTCTTACGACATGCTTTTGGGGAGGCAGTGGGTCTATTCTTGTTTTCCATACAATGGGGCCCCGGAACCCACACGGGGTTGTTCTTTACCAACGACTGATCCTGCGTGCAGTCTCAGCTTGATTTGTATTCTTCTCATCTTCTTCTGCATTCCTCCTCAAACTGGAAGTTGGCATATCTTGTGGTTTACAGCTAGGCGATGATATCTGCACAACACTAACGCTTTCAGCATTTCCCTAATTCCTCACATTTTATGGCAAGTTTTTAAGGAGCTTTGAGTCTATTACTTCAAATAAAATCTGATTTTTTAAAAATAATTATTATTTAAATTGATCAAAGCTTCAGTTTTACCTTATTTAATGTTGTGGATTGGCTGTGTTTGTTTAATAATTCCTTAGTTCCATCTATTCTTCATCACTTACCCACTAAATACAACCCCTGGTCAGAAGTACTAGGTGAAGTATTTATTTCAAATGTAATCTTATTTAGAAAGTGTTATTCTGTGATGACCGTTTTGTTGATCTCATTGATGACATCAGTGTTGTTAATCTCATTGATCACATCAGTGTTGTTTATCTCATTGATGTCATCAGTGTTGTTCCATCTCATTGATGACATCAGTGTTGTTCATTTGTTTGATGACATCAGTGTTGTTCATCTCATTGATGTCATCAGTGTTGTTCCATCTAATTCATGACATCAGTGTTCCATCTAATTGATGACATTAGTGTTGTTATTTGTTTGATGACATCAGTGTTGTTTATCTCATTGATGACATCAGTGTTGTTCCATCTAATTGATGACATCAGTGTTGTTCATCTCACTGATAATGTTCAGTACTATTTCAATCTATCAGTATTTCTGCAGGGGCCTGTTCTCCAAAGGCATAGTCAGATGCTGTTGGTTCTGTTTGTGTCTGTGCAGTATTTAGGAGGCCGGTATGGGTGAGTTGGTATAGAGGTTTTCTACAAACCAAGTGGCTTTTATAAAGCCAAGTTGATGTCACATTTTCCCCTAAGCTTCAATAGCAGTGGTCACGGCATGAGTCACCTACTTTTTTGTAGGCTGGAGAAAATGTATTCAATTGAATGTTTCACTCTCTTCATGTTCATTGATTACTCCTTTTGTAAATTTCGAGAAGACATTTTAAAAATATGAATATAAAATGGAGGGGGGGGTGTTTGGCAATTCCGACAGGTTGATAATCCTTTTTTCTTTGGTGACCTAGTTTTGGCCGGGCAAAAGGATTAGGCTATCAAGTCTTATTATTTTTAGTTGTATTGTTAGTTTTAAGTTAAGTATTTCTTCATTAAGTGTTTATGTGAAGTTAGTGGGTTTCAACACTTTCATGCCACATATATTGTGTTTTTTCAGTGAGACCATGTGTTGTATGCTTTCATAAATTCTGATGCTGTTACAAGCATGGCTGACTAATAATAGTAATTTTGTGCATTTTCTGACACTGATTATTTTTTTTTTCCAACTTTGATAAACCAGAAGTTAAAGTATTCAGCTGTTTATCAATGTTTGTTTATCATGCAGCTCATTTCGGGAGATTTGTTATTAGTTGTTACAGAAACTCTGAACAGAGGACAGAATTAGTGTTCGCACTGAGGACAGCTAATTGCCGTAAAGTTCAGTGTTGTAGAAATAATGCAAGTGTTTTCAAAACAGATTTTACAAAGTGGACATGATGGGTAACTGTACAATTAATAATATAAACTTACTACCAAATGAGAGTAGTTTCCCCTGGTAAATTTTTTGTATTATTTTTCTATTTATTAAGTTTTCAAACCTGACCTAACCTAGTAATGAATGTCACCGCATGTTCACGTTGTGTTGCTACTATGGCATGATCCGTAAATAAACCATTTATGAAGCATTTATATAATTTTTTGTTACTGTATATATTTGTTTAGAGCTTGTAATTGTATCAGACGTGAAATGCTTAAAGTAATATTGAACAAAGTAAATAACAATACAGTGAACAGACTGGTAATAATAATAATATTAGACTTTTGCAACAGAAGACAGCAGTAAATATAATGATTTGGCCATGTTTCAGGATTATCATTGTACATTTCCCCACAGGGAGTTAACATTCAGATACAGTGAAAGTTTCCCATGTAGGTTTTTGGGTCCCTATGCAGGGTTAAAAAAAAAAAGGATAGACCCACTGCCTTCTAACTAGCATGTTGCAAATGACGACTGATTCTAAATTTGCTGGAATTGGATGTGTTGGGTCAAAAGGTGCAGCCTAGCTGTAAACCACAATACTGTGTGCCAGCCACCCTTTTAAAGCCAAACCCGGAAGAACAAATTGTTGGTTTTTTTCTTTGACCACTGAATTGTCTCACAAATTAAAAATCAATTTAGTGTTGAAAAGTCATAATGTTTTCAAAATAAGCATTAATCTAGTATTTTAAATTATCATAATTGGCAAGAGTATTTAGAAGACTTTATGACATTAAATTAGTATTTGAATATTTATTTGTTACACATTAAATATTTGAAAATGACATGGTTTGCAGGATATAAGTAGAGTATGTGCAAGTAACTCGTTTGCTAGAGAAACATAAATTGAGTGTGTAAAAGTGATGTTTTGTGCAAGATACGTGGACTATTTGTATCACATGCAATAGATGTATCATTTGCCTATTATATCGTACTAGTGTAAACTTATACTAATTACAAATTGTTTGCATTAGTTGTTAGTGTTCACCTAAGCAACAGTCTGTGATGTTCTTTAATTGATATTTTTAAGTTTTTTGCTTCGAGTCCTATTTCATAATTTGTGTACGTAACAAAGTAATTATTTTTCTTTCCCATGTACTTCTTCCCGGATTCTTCCTTCCCAGATTCTTTAGGTTTGCTTATTGCTTGGTAACTTCTTAATCAAAGTGGAAATTCACTCTACTAGTGAATGTAGAATACACTGCCTCATGACAAAAGCATAGATGCTCAGTCTCTCCACATGAAAACCACAAAATCTTGCAGCTGATCACTGCAGTGGTACATTGGCCAATCACCATCACCCGTTAAGATAAATGGGTAAAGCATTGTTTGCATCCTGGCTCATTTACGGCTATGACCATTGTAATATTTAGTTTACTAGCTAACCAGTACAGTGGTCTAGAGCAAGGCTGTTCAGCTAAGTTTATTCAGGGGCTACGCTTTTAAAAATAGGGACCATCACGGGGCTGAGGCCTGAGCATAGAAAGACACAGTACAACTGGCAATGATCTGGGGGCCGCTAGTTGAATAGCCCTGGTCTAGAGTTTGTAACTCAGGGCAGCAAGAATTGTTTCTTGCAAATCTGGCGTCAACTCAATCCCCGTAAAATTGGGTGCCAAAGATTTATCAGACGTCAGCATGGACAGAGAAATAATTGTACGGTGACACACACTTGCCCTAGGAGCACACATTTACCCTGTTTAGTGGCCTATGTTCAGGAAGACAGTGGGCTGAACAAAGTATCTGTTTGACCCTATTTGGTGGCCTTTGTTCAGGAAGACAGTGGGCTGAACAAAGTATCTGTTTGACTGATCTTTACAAATTTGAGTTTATCATCATAATCTTGATGTGCCACTGACATTAAAAAAAAAGGCTCTTTACGCCCCTGCCCCCATCCTCTCCCCCCCATTATCTCTTATTTGTTTAGTGACATGTAAACGGGTACATTACTTTTGTTTATTTGTAACTTATCTAGAAATGTTTGAGAACATCTTCACTTTTAGCTCTTAATGGATGTATATTAATGCTATTATTTATATCAGCAAGTTAGGT